GTAACGGCCGCGATGACGTCCACTATGCACAGGGGCGTGGCCTGAGGTGCGCCTGCGCGGACTGCCGCGCCTATCGCGCGGAATTACGCTGCTTGGATTCTCACCGCCTGAGCGCTCGCGGCTCTAGACTAGTAGATAGACTGTGAAGGGTCGGTGAGCACCCGGAAAAAACAGAGAAACTTCCTTTCAAGCCCTGGACGCGTAACTGGGCGCTAGGAACTAAACGTGGAGCAGGACGGGCGAGGACTCTGCTTTTACGAAACGTATTGAGGGAAAAGGCGTATTACGGAGGAAATGATTAATTCCCATGGCAACCTGTACTGGAGGCAGCAAAACACTAGAAAGTGGTGGATGGTGTGTGGGACGAAGGTGTGGGAGCTGCCACTGGAATGGGCGTTCCAGGCAGGGAAAGGACAGATGCAAAAGTTGTATATACATCGTTTGCTTGCCATAGTTTTTATTCAGATCTCATGAAAAGCCTCCAAGAAATAGCCCCAACCCTTTGGGAAAAATGATTAAGGTCGCAAGTGAGACGACTGCAATGTGCTGCCTGTTCTTTCATTCCGTTCCTTAGATAGCAAGAATTACATTATGGGAAGAAAAACCAGGGCAATCCCTCCTATATATCCCTAGAACACCCTATACATCAGGCATAATGTTTCTCCTGAGGGTGCCATTGGCATTTAAGGTGAAACAACTGACCTATGTGATTCTTGACCCTTTCGCGGGACTGTTCAGCAACCCTGATACCAGTTGCCCGCTAAATGCCTTTGGTGTCCCTTGGTCATTTTGGCAACCGAACAGTACAACCCTTTGTTGAAAAGTACTTTGAAGCCTATTTGGATTTTGCACAAACTTGTTCTCCCGGTGACCACCTTCAAATCTTTAGTGTAAAGCAGCACGTGATGGAGAAAAATAAACAGTGCTTTTCATCTCAGTGGAATAAATGACAACTCTGGTCAACCACAGTGGAAATCATTTCATCCATCCTGGATGCCTCACTCTTCACTCACAATTCATCATTAAGCTTTTTTTTACTTCCTAGAACTCTTCAGTCCTTTGCCTCTCCTTTTTGTTCACATTACCTTCTTGATGATGTGAAGCAGCCGGCACCTGCTTTGATCCCCTTTCTCATTGGCCTCAGGAAGGTGATGCTAAGTTAAAAATCTCATCTGCCATTTCCTCAAGGTCTGAAACCATTCAAGGTTCCTTTGCTCTGGGAACTTCTAAAGTGATCTACAAAGCCATTCTAGTCTGGTCCCTGCAGCCTCTCCAGTGTCATCTTCCATCTTGCCACTCTCTGCTCCCTGTCCTGAAAGGGGCTTCTTTTAGACTGGTCTTTACTGTGCCTGCTTTCACCAATGAAAGCATACCTCACTTATGCTTCAGTCCCCATTTTCAGTCCTTGGGTGACTTCTGTCAGGTTTCAGCTCTTCTTCTTCAGGAAAGCCTTCCCTATACACTCAAATATTCTTACTGGAGATTTACTAAAATCTGTAACCTTGCAATTTCACATCCAGTGGGTGACAATTTCATGTCTGTTTCATTCAGACTAGATTCCATGAGAACAGCTCTCATGGAACTGTTCACTATTGTGACACAGCACTTTTGCAAATAGGTATTGAATAAGTGAAGTTGAAAGACAAGTTTGAATCCTGGGTTGGGTATCGTAACCTCTCAGCTTCATTTTCTTCCTGATTTAAATTAGTGATGATGTTAATACCTACTTTGTATGGGGCTTTATGAGGAATAGGTAATAGGTTACCTCTTGTGCACACATGGGATATGCTAGGGTCCCTGTCATCTCACTTACTTGTTCTCTTGTGCTGAATTCACTTGAGGAGAGTTGGGAACAGGTGATCCTCTGGATATCAAGTGTGCACCAGATTAAGAGAGTGAGTCAGGAGCCCCTGAAGCAGAATTTCAGTAAGAAGTAAACAAGCAACCCTTTGGCTTGGAATTCTTAGTAGAAAAGAGCTCCTAGATGATCCCTAAGTGAGGTATGCGACTGTTATAAAAGAGCTTCCTGAACTGACTGCTTGGCACTCCTTGTGCGGGGAGGCAGAGCCAGCTCTACCCACTGTGTCTCTATGGGCCAGGCCTGCCAGGTACAGGCAAGTCTCACCTAACACTGAATGCAGTCTTTGTTTTAGGGGGTGAGGACTAGGAAGGGTGCCAAAAGATTGAGTGATTTATCAGTAGTATCAGTGATGTGTAAAGCTTAATTCCCTCTCTGTACAAAAGTAAAAGTGGGGCCCCTCCCCCATTCTTCATTTGCCAGAAAAGCATACTGGAGTCAGTCCTCTTCTCCATTTTAATACTCCATAAGATCCCACTTCCCCAAAACGATGAGCAAACAGCTTTAGTTTAGGTAAGAAAGAAGAGTGTGATCAGATGGTTACCCGATCAAGTAATATTTTGGTTTCAAACTTGACCTAAGCTTCCTGCAGCTTATATCATAATGTAATTCATGGTCACGAGGGTTCACTGGTCAGGCAGTTGAAATGACTGCATTCATTTTGGCCTCTGATCAAATGCCTTTAGTTTTTGTATGAAATTCCTGACCTAAAGACTGGGCTAAGAACCAACATTTCTATCTTTTGGAATTTCTAAACATACCACCCTTTATCTTAAAATTAATATAGTCTTTTTAGAGTACTTTACCTCCTATCTCTTTTTTTATTTCCCAGGTCACCTCTCAGAAGGTTGCATAGACAAGTACTTTCTTCCAGCTCTGCCACTTCCTAGCTGTGGGACCTTGGTTAAGTCGTGTACCCTTTTTATGTTTCAGCTTCCTCACAGGTAAAATAGGAGTAAGTGCCTATTTCATCAGTTTATAGTATGAAGATTAAATGAGTTACCAGATGTGAAGCACAAACAGTGCCTGACCACTGGCAATGCTCAGTGAGTACTAAGAAGTATCATTGCTAGAACTGCTGTTATATCCTGGGTGCCAGCCAGGTATTGTTTTAGAATAAAACTCAGCTTCCTAAATATCTGGAGAAGTTTCCCCTTTCATTGTAAAAGTATTTCCAGAGCACTACAGCTCTGTTCTTTCCATTACTACTTGTTTTTCTCTATATGCTTTCTTACACCCTCGGCCCCACCCAAGCTTTGTGACTGTTCCCTTTGTAATCTTCTGTCGGCTCATTACATTTTCTTTCTTGCCTCTAACTAGACCTTACATGGTCCTAGAAATCACACCATCTTCTTTCTGCTTGACAGACGTAAGCCTACTGGTGCTTATGTATGTTGTTTGTAACCACTCAGATTTTTAATTTGGCTGATATTTTGGTTTGGACACCATTGACATGAATAACCTAGATGTTCCTTAACATTCTGAATTACTCTTTCCTGGCTGCTGGCCATGCCACTGAGAAACCACAGGGTGGACTGGTTCAGGGTGCACTGAGAAATACCAGGGTGTATTGGATGAAGCTACTGGGGAGAATGTACATTTCTTGGCAACAGGCATATCAGAATGCTGAGCTAACGTGTTATTGTACAGATTGCGATTTACACAGAAAATAGCCTCCTTTATTGATTTGGAACCAAAAATCAGCAATTTATTTTCTAAACAAAAAGTATATGGATGTTTTCAACATGCCAAAATCCCAACCAACACTGAAACAACCATCATTACATTTTAACTTGAAAGCACCACCTGGCAGATACCAGCAGGCAACCTGAGCACCTGGCAGCTATTATACAGCAGGAACCCCAAATATTGACTGGCATCAGTTTCTGGGACATTTGCAATTTATTTTTTCCCAGGGGAAGGGTGTGGATTCTACAACCATAGCACAGAAAGACCAATATCTGATCCTCACTGAGGTGAAGGTAAATATGGGGCCAGGTTCTCCTCCCCAGCAGATCTTCCTGCAGTGCTGGGTAGCAGCATTGGTATTTCCAAAACAACCACACCCACAACTATATTCACATTTCTTAACACTACTCTTTCAAGATGCCCATGTTTTTGAAAGAAGGGAGAAATTTGCCAATCACATCTCTAGAATCACCACGCTGTTGGAATGGGACTGCTTCGGAGTCCTTTCCTGTCCAGTTCTGGCACTGGGCCTAGATTGTGATGACCCTGCTTGTAAAACCACAAACACAGTTAATATAATACCTTTGTCATCTTCAGAAAAATAATACAAAGGATTAACACACTGAGAAAAACACACAGCTACATATGGAAGCTACAATGTCTTTCCAATTAACAAGACAAATGGGTCCCCTCAGAAATAGTAATTGTTAACTTCAAAGGCCCACAAAAGGCTGTGGGTTTTATACTGCTGCTTCCAGACACTAAAAAGGTTATCAGATGTTGGCTACTGCCATACAGTGAATGTATTATCTCCATTATGATACAGGTCACTATTGACCTAATGTTTGAGGACCGATGCTAATACATTACTTCTGTGATATTAGAGGTTTTTTTCCTCAGATGCATTAAAAACAGCAAGCTTGTCATGAAAATAGAGGTACATTAAGAAAATGGCAAATAAACAAACATCTTGATTATATCTTCAAATAGTGCAGGCCCAAAATCATATCCTAAAAACAAGAAGTTGTTATCACAGTATATGGGATACAATGGAGTGCCATTAGCTTAGATGTAAATTAATCTAACAGCTCAACAAGGAAGCCAGTTTCCAGAAACGTGCTAGGTGTCATTCATAAAAAGGAATAAGCTAGAATGGAGGTATTCTTTGGATCTCTTCTGCTTCCAGGTTTGATACAAACCATAACTTCATAGGCCCCCCCACCCCTCGCAACTCTTTAGCAGCAAGATCTTCATTAACATCCATTTCCCTGTGCTGTTTGGGTCCCAATGAAAGTTAAGTCAGGAGAAGAAAGCCTCAGAAGATCCACCCAAGTTTAGGCTCTACAGTCAAGACCCCCTACTTATGACCACTTCATGCACCCCTTAAAGTGTCTCCATCTATCATAACAAGGAAGGCATACCAATTCTGTATCTGAAGAATAAATTCTTTCGCAGCCTGAGGAACCAGAAATACCTTCTCCCTTTTTTAATGATCTTTATATTAACGTGCCCCAGCCAATGGAGCACAGGGCAGAGTTTTCACCTGGGTTAGAAGGTTGTGGAACTCTTCCACTGCCTGTGAGTGTGCCATGGGATTTAGCACCAGGTGTTGGAAGAGATTGACAGGCTCGGCATTCCGAAATGTCTTAGGAACCGGGATGGTCAGGGGCAAGAAGGTGTTACCAATGAGGAAATGATGGAGGGACCTCTGCTGGAGGCCGCGGCCCAAGAACCAAAGGACGTCCTGGAGCCGCTGGGAGAGCATGTCATGGTGCCAGTCTGTTAGGGGCAGCCTCAACAGTAGGTGCATGAGAGCTGTTTTGAAATGGTAAGAGGTAAGGATGGGGCGGGGTGCTCCTTGGGGTAGGTTCTGCACATCCCGAAGACTTAAAATGATCTGGAGGCACTTAAGGTGACACGTGTTCTCTGGAGCAAACCGCCCTACGAGTTTCAGGAACAAGTGCTCACAGGCTGCAAAGGACTCAGGCCAGTCTACACTGGTGAGCTGTTCCTGATCAGGAGCCTGACTCACCAAGTAGACCAAGGTGTCTTCCCGTTGCACCCCCAAGACCAAGCTGATTGAGAGAAAGCGGCCTGAGCGGTAGTCCAGCCTGAGCTTGCAGGAGGTGGAGGATGGAGGGAGGCTGAGCTTAAAGTCATACTTGTGAGCCACAAGTGCCCAAGCATTGCCCACCATGTTCCGGAACCACTGTATGCTCTTACACACGTCCAGGTGGGAGCCGGTGCAGAGCGCTGCCTTGATAGAGCTGCTACACTTGCCCAAGGGGATCGAATGGTCCCTGTGGTGGTGCACCAGGCACAGCACATCCCCCAGAAGTTTCTCACGCTTGCATACACATTCTGATTCCACCAGCACAGAACCGTAGCGGTGGCCAAGGGCTGGATCTCTCATCTCCAACACAAACATCATTCCCTGAGGGGGGGCAATGGGTACCAGGATATCAAATTTCTGGGTCTCATGGAGGGTTCCCCACTTCTCAAAAGCAGCCCCAATGCCCAGGCAGTCCTCCAACTGTGGTTGAGCCTCCCGGCGGCTGAGCACACGACAGGCCTCAATGAGGTCATCCACAAAACTCTCCACAAACTCACAGGTGCTGGGCAGGTCACGAATGGAGTTCTGGACATGATGTTTATAAAAGGATTCCAAGGTTTCCCGAGAGGGGAAGTCAGTGAGCCAGTTGTTGGTGGTGACAGGCAAAACCCGGACTTCCTCCTCCTCCTCATCACTGCTAGAATCAAAGGCCTCGTGCTGCATATTCTGTCGGAGGAGCTCAAAGATGAGAAAAAGGCAGAAGAGGCCAGCATTCCACAGGTTTCCCAGTATCCAGCCCAGCGGCCCCTGCTGGCCATCAGCCTGGAATGGCCACCCCATGTCTTTCTTCCCCAGTACTAACTGGTCTTCGGATGTGTCTCCTCTCCAGAATTTCTCTGCCTTCTGCTTCTGCTCAGCTGCTCTCTTCCTCTCTTCAAATTCTATCTCTAACTGGCGCATCTCCTCACTCATCCTCTTCTCTAGCTGCCGACTTCTGGCTAATGTGTCTAAGTCCATCCGGTCACTGACCATCAAGGGGTGGTGAACAACATACATCACTGCCAAGAACAGAAGGCTTATCACAGCCATCGAGGCCTCTGCATCTGGAGAAGTAGGAAGGCGGGAGTCAGTGGTGATCTTCTGGACTCATCTGCTCTCCAGCGCATATTCCCCAGAGCCCTGGGACCCCAGTTCCTGGAAGTCAACCACTCAAGAGGAAGAGAAACCTCATATAGCAGGGTTGGAGAGAGCAAGAGGATCTGTCTGCTAGGAGGTTTGGGAGGAAGGGGCAGCAGATGTGCCACTTGGTCTCTTTACTGTTTTCCTTCCACATAGTGTGGTTGGCATTAGGCTTCCAGAGTGTGGACATGGGACTGTTTCCATTCCTGTGTAGGACAGGGAGGGGGAGCCCTTATGGTAGGGTGGCCTCACCCGACTCATCAGTCCACCATAGGCACCAGGTGCACCCTGCTGATTCTAGAGGTTCCCTTCCATGAGCAGAAAACACTGGTCTGCCTGAATATCTTTCCTCTTGCCAGGCAGCCAGACCCAGGCAGCCAGCCTCAGGCAGCATCTCACCTCCACTGTGACTTCATAATCCTCATTCTGCTCACCTTGTGTCCTCAAACCACTCAGTCTTTCCTCCTTCCAGGGGGCCTGCCCCAGTGGGTGCCAGGAAAGCAGTGCTACCTGCCACCTCTCTCCTATGGTGGGTTGCTGGATGCCCCATTGGTGGGCTGGGCCCATTAGCAGGCACAACTGAACCTCTCAACCCAGGGAACTTCATGCCCAAGGCCACCTTATGTTGGCAGCAGTAGGTTCCTTTGCCTCCCCCCCAACACAGAGACCTCAAGTTTCTTGCATTCACCCCACCGGTTCACAAGCTTCTGGGCTCACCTAGATCCAAGGTCTAAGCCGTGTGGGCGCTCAAGGCAGGTGGAAGACTCTTCCTTGGGGCGCTGGCCTTGCTTATTTTCACCGCCTTCTCCAGGATCCCTGTTACAAAGTACTCGTACAAGGGGGCTTTGACTCAAAGCACGGTGCCCCCGCCCCCCATTCATAACTTCCCCAAATTCCACACCCAGAGATCCGAACTCTCATCCGCCCAACCCCAGCCTCCAATGGGTTTCTCCCGGGATGGGGGCCAGGTTACTCACCGTCGGTCTCAGCAGGAACACCGTCTTAAAGAGACAGTGCGGCCTGACGGTCCCCGTCTTCTTGCCGGCGGGGTGGGAGTTCCCGATACCTCTCTCGGCCCGCTAGCGGGAGTGGCTCCGCACCCCTCTCCCAGGGAAAACACCATGTTTAGCCGAAAGTCCGTTTGTCTGTGTGTGGCGGGTCCCTGCGACCCCACCGTCCCGCGCGCTGCCCGGAGGGCGCCAGTCCAGCACCGCGGCTCCCGCCGTCCAGGCTCCGCCCAACCCGCCCAACCCTGCCCAGGCTCCTCCCCCCGACTCCAGTCGCTGCTAATGCGGGGCGAGCCCCACCCCGGCCCGAGACCCTCCACGAGCGCGCGCGATCTGCGGCCCGGCTCCCTCGTGGACGGAGCGGAGGAAATGTGGCCAAGACTCAGGGGTGCTCACGCCACGACAGCTCAGCCTCCCTGGGGTTGCGCAACCCGGCATAGCCGTGCTGGCTGTCAGCTTCACTGAGCCCGGTTCAAAGGAGAAGATTCCTACTGGGTATTTGAATAGTTATGAGCATCATGGTGACATAACTAAGAATTGGTGGTGGGGGGGGGGGGACAGGTGAGCGGCTGGCCCTGCGAAAAATGGTACGGGAGGTGAGGGGCGTTGTTAACATCCTTCTTGACCCTCTCCCAGTCCACGCCCAGACTCAGACAGTCCGCGCCCAGGCTCAGGTGTCTCTCCCCAATCCCTAAGCGACTCTCTAGAAAGAAGCAACACCCAAAGACAGCTTGCCGCCTACTCGCCACTCACTGGCCAAGAGGAAATAAGAACACTAAAGCTACCGGGCAGCTTGGCTGATGAGGTGAGAGTGTAAAGGGGCTGGATAAGTCATATGAAACAATAACAAATCTTCAGAGTACCAGAAAGAGCCCTTCTTATCCTGTGTCAGCTAAGGAGAAAAGGAAGTGACAGTCTCTTGATGCTTCCTAACGAAAGTTCTGCCAAAAGACAAGTACCAAGTTTTGGGCCCTCCCTGGTGGCACAGCACTAAGAAGTTAAAGCCACTTCAGCATGAGTGGGATCCCAGCCCGAAGGTGACCACATGGTGCAGCAGACCTCTCCTGACCAGCCTGCTCCTCTACTCAGCACAAAGACAAGTATGTTTCAGGTCTCCTTATTGTGGAGGAGAAAAGACTGTGTCTGGCTGACAATGAAGTTCGAAGCTTACTTTTTATAAACTGGTATGATGAAGCATAGACCACAGGGTACTCCAATATAAGCATTAGTGCATTCAAACAGTAATGATGAAATTCTCTAATAGTGACCTGCCAACGTCAGCATGAAAAGAAACACATTTCAGACTCTGCAAACCAATGGTGTTTAAATCCAATGGTGTTGTGGCTAGTTTTTTGGGTTAGAAATACATTTGCTAATTCTAGTTGTACCAAATCAGAGACTCGGAGCTAGAAAACTGTTTATCCATATCAAGTTGACACTTAATCAATAAAAAGCCTTCAAGCAGTGGATATTTTGGACTATTTTCTAGTGATGTTTCTTCTGTGAAGTGACTGTTGGTTTAGTCAGTGGGTTTAATAGAATCAAGCCATTTGAACACCTTGTCTTTCATGCTAATTGGTGATTGTACACAAATGACATGTGAGAACACTGTATCAGAGTTTCCTCTAACAATTGACCTCCACTGTAGTGGAATTTGCCCTTGTCAGGTAGGGAATCATGGTAGTCTTTCCCCCAAAATAAAATTATTTTTTAATCACTAAGAAAATAAGTATGTAAAAAGTACTTACAGAATCTTCTCAATTCTGTCTGTTGGTCCACAAAACCCAAAACTTCAGATTTTTAGTATTTTGGTGAAACTGCTGCTCGAAGAAACAAACTGGAAGAGACATCAATAATCAATTAAGGCAAGTGATTGTGTTTTTTTCTTGGCTCTGATAGACCAACACATTCCTGATACTGTTCAGTTATTGCTATTTACCCAGGAAGCCAATGTAGAGTTTGTAGGTACTGAGGAATTAGATTTTGTGAATTGTCTGTATGGAATAATCAGAGCCAAGAATATTTCAAAGATGCTGAGAAAATACTAATTTAATACAACCTGAAATAGCATTTGCTAATGTGTATTAGAGCTGATATGGTAAGAGTATACGTGAGCAGACTATGGCTTAGATGGAAAAATTTACAAAGTTTGTAAGAATATAAGGTGTTTAAGTCCTGTCATTAACTGTATAATTCATCATCATATACTTTGTGGAAAATACTTACATTCATTATGTATTAGTGAACCAGTAGTGTCAATGGGAAGCTCTGTTCACTCTCATGGATTTAAAAATCATTAGTTCTGTGAATTTTCACCAGAAATAGAAACTGAATATACAGCCTTGCCCAACCACACATCAGTTTACAAAGTTTCTGAGCTTGAGATTGCAATTAAAATTTTGCTAAATGAGAACTGCCCTCAAATACTACATTAAACTTCTAATGACTTTAGAAATTAGCTTTTGCAGACTTGATGAACTCAACCTAAAATTACATTTATTTAGTGTTTTGTATGAAATATATTCTGTGATGAAATCATTTCAACAAACTTTGCTTGAATCACAAGTAATATCTAGCTGTTTGTTACCCTTCCTTTGTTGTGAAAGCTAAAACAAGAAGCAAAGTATCCATTCTCATGTAAATTTGCAGCAGATATATTTTCTGAGCTTTATAGTTTTAGCCGTTTATCAGACATCAGTCAGAAAGTACAGTTCCATTTTTCAAAATGCATTTCATTTTGCAACCGTGGATCTTCCACTTAATCCTCAAGTAGAGGAGATTAGTCAGCAAGTAAAATGATACACTAAAAGATAAATATCAAAAGAATCTAATTATATAAATGACTTCCAAGAAATTAGCATGCTTAATTAAAATCATATGCTAGTGGAATAGTATATCTGTATTTGGCAGTAACTATATGAAAAGAAGCAATATGTATATCTCATTAGAAATCAGCATTAACATATAAACATGTGCAATCAATTTGTATGATAGGAAACACTAATTCTGAACCCTAATTGAGTGACGTGTATTTTTAATTAATTAATTAATTAATTTATCTTGTAAAAGAACCGGGATATAGATCAGAAGTGCCTGAAGTGAAAGGATTCACCAGAGACACAGCAGGAAGCAGAATAGTCAGATTAACTGAAATACACTGGTGAGGGGAGCAGCAGGCTGGACAAGATAGTTGAAAATCAGTGATAGCACTGAGACTTAACCCCTACACCACCAAGGAGGCCCCCTGACATGTTTTTGTTTTTGTCTTTTTATCCATTCTTCTCACTAGTATACTCATATTATGAAAAAAAAAAAAAGCATTTGATTATTAATGTTATATTTTTAATTTTTCAATGAAATTTTGTAGATATTTGCCTCTTGTTATCCTTGATTCTGCCTCCTGGATGGCAAACACTAAAATATTTGCTAACTTGCCATTTACAAAAAAATAAAATGAGCTTTGCTTTTTTAAGTATCAAAATGTACACATTTCTCCAGAAATTTATATAGAAAGTTATCTTTTTGTAAAAATGATGCATGCCCATAGTAAAAATACATACCATATTAGAAGAACAGAAGAGAAGCTTTCTCACTCTCTACCACCTGGAGACAAATGTTACAGATTTGGTGAACACTTCTAGATATGATTTATGTTTTTTCAATATTTTCCCAAAAGTATCCCTTAAAACCCTAGTTATGCATGATGAACTTCAGCAAAATGACATGCATAATCTTTCTTGATAACATTTAAAACTCAAATACAAAACACAATCAGGGTAAAAAGTTAGGAAAAAATTTGATCATTTTTTTAAAAAACACATCCTTAATACTAGGATTAATGTGGGTATCAGCTAGGATCCCCACGAATTTAATGGCATACTCATGCTGGGTAATTGAGGAGAGTCTAGGAAAGAGACTAAAAAGTTTGGGGTTTTGGGAATTTGGTGGAAACTGCAAGGGATAATTATTATTCCTGGCACCAGCCCAGCAGGGAGCCCACTGCTGAGAAAGGGTGAGGGAGAAGAGTGGCTTGTAATAAGAACTTGGAGAGGGTAACTGTGTGGAGAGTACCTGAGAAGAAAAGGTAGTTGCCCCTTGAGAGAACAAAGTCAGCCATCTGAGCTCCCGGATCTGAGAGCTGCATTCTCATGCCTTCCACCTTCTACTGATGCCTCCCATTGGCCAAGGTCAATGGGAAGCCAGAGGACAAGGGAACCCCTTGATGCAGACCTTCAAGGCCAGGGCCTGAGGGCATAGAGCAGAGAGGGGAAAAAGGGAAAGAAGACCTGCAGGGCTAAAGAAGATACACGAGTCACTGCCAAAGTTACCCACGCTGGTCTCAAGTGCCAGTCTGAGTTCACATTTGAAGACAAGGCCATGCTGCCTCAGTTATATAGGACACATTGGGACCCTACTCTTAAGACCAGATTTGGGCCCACGGTGCTGTTCTCCTCTAAAAGGACTCATCCCCTTAAAGCATGACAGCACAACATGTCAGGACAGCCAAGGAACAGGTGAGCCTAGAATATTTGGATGACATTGGAGAACAAGGGAGCCATCTTCGGTACAGTCTCAGGTATGTTGGAAAAGGATGCAGACAGGCCACATTGAGAGGACTCCCCCTATTAGGTGAATGCCTGGAAAAAAAAATAATTCTAATCATTGGGATAAGTCGAACCCACAGAAGTGTGCAGTTATTTTCTAAATGATACATATACCATAAAAGATTTTCCAATATTTTTATCAAAATTAAATCTACATGACTCTTACACTCACACGTTTTGATCATTA